TACCTCATTATCTCTTGAAAAAGGGTTCTCTCCCTACCCGCACCTTGTTTTTGTTTTTGTTTTTTAACATTTATTAATATATTTAAAAGGCAGAGTGACAAAGGGAGAAAGAGATCAATCTTGTTTCTAGTGCTTCAACCCCCAAACGGCAACAATGGCTGGGGCTGGTCCTGGGCCTAAGCCAGGAACACAGAACTCTATCTGTGTCTCCCATATGGATAGCAGGGGCCAAGAACTCCGGATATCATCTTTTGCTTTCCCAGGCACATAGCAAGGAGCTAGACTGGAAGCAGAACAGCTGGGACTCAAACTGGCCCTCCAGTAAGGGATGCCAGCATCACATAGGTGTTGGCTTAAATCACTTTGTCACCATGCCCGGTCACCCCTTGCCTTGTTTTTGATTCAGTGATATGTATTATATATAAAAGAATAGTAGGCTGTGACCCAAACTCTTTTTTTTAAAGATTTATTTATTTATTTGAAAGTGTTAGAGAGAGAGAGACCTTCTATCCACTGGTTCACTCCCCAAATGGCCACAATGTCCAGAGCTAGGCCGACAGGAAGCCAGGAGTCAGGAGCTTCTACTGGGTCTTTCACGTGGGCTATTCTCTGCTACTTTCCCAGGTGCATTAGCAGGGAGCTACATTGGAAGTGGAGCAGCTGGGACTCCAACCAGCACTCATATGGGGTGCTGGCACTGTAGGCTGGTGGCATTACCTGCTATGCCACAGTGCTGGCCCCAGTTCTGAACTCTTATAAAGCTGTAGAATATTATCATCACTTGCTGACTCACTCATTCCTGTTCCTACATAATCTCCATATATGCAACTGCTGTTGTTATTTTTTAAACCGAGATTAGTTTTACTTCTTTTAAAGCTTGATATAAGGCCGGCGCTGTGGCTCAATAGGCTAATCCTCCGCCTTGCGGCGCCGGCACACCGGGTTCTAGTCCCGGTCGGGGCGCCGGATTCTGTCCCGGTTGCCCCTCTTCCAGGCCAGCTCTCTGCTGTGGCCCGGGAGTGCAGTGGAGGATGGCCCAAGTGCTTGGGCCCTGCACCCCATGGGAGACCAGGAGAAGCACCTGGCTCCTGGCTTCAGATCAGCGCGGTGCGCTGGCCTCGGCAGCCATTGGAGGGTGAACCAACGGCAAAGGAAGACCTTTCTCTGTCTCTCTCTCTCACTGTCCACTCCGCCTGTCAAAAAAAAAAAAACAAAAAAAACAAAAAACAACTTGATATAGTCATTTTATGTGCTCTTATGGAAGGCCTTTTGTACACAAAGTATTTTTGAAATTCATTAGTGTTGTTCCATTGTATGATTATATACTCATTTGCTTTGCTTTTCTCTTATTGATAGAAATGAAGACTATTTATACTGTAGGTTATTATAAATAATGGTACCATGAATGTTCCTTTACAAGTCTTCTGTTTTATATATAAGGTTTTTAAATTCATCTTGGGTAGATACTTAGGAGTGCAACCATTGGATTATAAGATCATGTTTAATTTTGTAAGTAACTGCCTTTTTCCCCAAGTTATTATGAAGTTATTATGTTATTTTCGCTTCCATCAGTAATGTAAGAGGAACAGTATTATACTTTCAGGAAATTTGACCATTTCTTTTAAGTTGTCTAATTTACCCACTTAAAGTTGATTTGATGGGGCAGAGCTGTGGTGTGGCAGGCTGAGCCTCCACCCACGGTGCTGGTGCCATGTGGACACGAGTTCATGTCCCAGCTCTCTGGTATGGCCTGGGAAAGCAGTAGAAGTGCTTGGGTCCTTGCACTCTTGTGGGAGACCCAGAAGAAGCTCCTGGCTTTGGATCGACCCTGCTGTGGCCATTGTGGCCATTTGGGGAATGAAAAAGCAGATGGAAGACCTTTCTCTCTCTCTGTTAACTTTCTCTCTCAAATAAATTAAAATTATAAAAATTTGATTTGATAATATTACCTTTTTTTTGTTTTAAGATTTTATTTATTTACTTGAGAGATTGAATTAAAGAGTTGGAGGAAAATCTTGCACATTGGTTCACTCCCCAAATTGGCTCAATGACTGAGGCTAGGCCAGGCCGAAGTGAGGAGCTTGGAACTCTTTTTCTAAGTCTCCTCTGTGGTTAGTAGGGGCTCATGTACCTGGGCCATCTTCTGCAACTTTCCCAGGCACACTAGCCAGAAGTTGGATCAAAAGTAGAACAGCTGTGACTTGAATTGGAGCTCATGTCAGATGCCAGAGTTGAAGGTAGTGATTTATCCCATTGTGCCATGATGGTGGCCCCATATTAATCTTTTAATGTCTATAGGATCTATAGTGCTGTTTCTCTTTTGAATTTCTTATATTGGATATCTTGTATTGGCTCTCTAGCAGGAGGCTCAAAAGATCTGATTTTTGACTTTCCTAGTTTTTCTCTGTTGCTTGTTATCTGTTTCAATAGTTTCTGTACTTTATTTTTTTACACTTTACTTTCAACTCATGTATCTTTTTAAAATATATCTAGCACATAGTTAATTCATGCTTTGTCTCCTATTTCAAAGTTCTTCACTTTGATCATTTTTATATATGTATGTATGTACATAGCCATTATCTAGATCAAGATGAACATTTCTCTCAACCTAGCAGACTGCTTTTAAGTCCCCTCCCCTGAGATGTAAACCTCTTTCTGATCTGAGTCAATATGTATTAGCTTGCTGTCAAGCTCATATAAATGGAATCATGTAGTATGTACTTTTTCCTCCCTCATCTTATTTGTGTGTGAGAGAGATCTTCCATCCACTATTCACTCCCCTAATGCCTACAGCAGTCAGGCTGAAGCCAGGAACCCAGAACTCAGTCTGAGTCTCCTACATGGTTGTCAGGGAACCAAATACTTGAAACCAGGGTGCCTGTTAGCAAGAAGGTAGAATTTGAAACAAAGCCAAGACTCAGACCCAGGCACTCTAGGGATGCAGGTGTCTGAAGCAGTTTTTGTTGTTGTTGTTGTTTGTAAAGATTTATTTATTTATTTGAATGTCAGAGTTGGAGGGAGGGAGGGAGGGGGAGAGAGAGCGAGGGAGGTCGGTCTTCCATCTGCTGGTTCATTCCCCAAATGGCTGCAACGGCCAGGGCTTGGTCAGACAAGCCAGGAGCCAGGAGCTTCATTGATGTCTCCCACATGGGTGCAGGGGCCTCAGTTTTGGATCATCATCTGTTGCTTTTTCAGGTTCATTAGTAGGGAGTCAGAGCGGAAGTGGAGCAGCAGGGACTCAAACCAGTGCCCATATGGAATGTGATGCCGCTTCCGCTATGCCACAGTGCTGGCACCTGAAGCAGTGTCTTTAACTGCTGTGCCAACTGTCCACTACTAGTGTGTACTTTTTATGTCTGGTTCTTTTGCCAAATATTACTTCTGAGATTCATCTATATTGTTGTGGGTTGTTTTAATTTTTTCATTTTGAATATGCTGAGCTTTATCCAGACTACTGTTGATACATAGTTATTAGGTTTTTAAAAATTTTGTTTTGCTTTTTTAAATAACACTGCTATGAATAGTTTTTAAATAGGTACAAGTATACTTTGAGGATAATGCAGAATATGTTACAGACTTCAGTAAAGCAATTATATATAGTAAAGTGAGTAACACATAATTTTTTGGTTTTCCAAAGCATGAAACAGTTGTTACAGTGACATCTATTTATTGTACAAAAATATCTTAAAAAAATGTATGCAGCCTGGCTTTGTGGCAAAATGAGTTCAACTACCACTTGTGACAATAACATCCACTATCAGAATGCCAGTCTTGGCTTCTCTTGACTCCAATCCAGCTTTCTGCTAATGTGCCAGGAAGGTAGTGGAAGATGAAGCAAGTACTTGGGTCTCTGCCATCCATCTCTCTGCCTTTGCCTCTGTCTCTTACCTTGTCTCTATTGCTCTGCCTTTCAAACAAAATTCATAAATTTTTTTTTAAATTTACAAATACTATGTATCCTAATTTAAAAAATATTTCCTTGCTAAAAACTGCTAACAGTTATTTGAACTATTAGAAAAAGGGTATGGAGGTTTGTGTTTGTGGTGGGGAGAGAGCAGAGTTGTGGTACAGCAAGTTAAATGACACTGGCATCCCATATGAGCACTGGTTAAGGTGTTCCACTTCTGATCCAGCTCCCTGCTAATGTGCCTGTGAAAGCAGCAGGAGATGGCCCAAGTACCTGGACTCCTGCCCCAATGTGGGAGACCTGGATGAAACTCTTGGCTTCAGCCTGGCCCAGCCCTGGTTGTTGTAGCCATTTTGGGAGTGAACCATTGGATGGAAGATCTGTGTGTGTGTGTGTGTGTGTGTCTGTCTGTCTGTCTGTCTGTAACTCTGCCTTTCAAATAAATAAATCTCAGAAGTGGGGGGCACTGATAGACTTGCTTGCAGGGTTGCCACTAAGCTATTTGTGAAAACAAAAAGCACAATATCTGCAAACACAGTAAAAGGTATGCCTGTGTGTTTTTAGATAGACTTTTTAAAAAGCCATTTATTTGCTGAATGAGTGAGAGAAATCTTCCATCTGCTGGTTTACTTCCTAAATGCTGTGGCAGTAGAGGCTAGGCAAGGCCAAAGTCAGGAGCCAGGAACTTCATCTGGGTCTTCCATGTGGGCGATAGGGATACAAGTGCTGAGCCCTCCTGTGCTGATTCCTGGGTGCATTGTCAGGGAACTGGATTGGAAGCAAAGTAGTTGGGACTCTCAAGCCAGCACTCTGATCTGGGATACAGGTGCCCTAAGAAGTGGCTTAACCAACTGTGTCACAATACCTGCCCCTTTTAGGTAATTTTTTAAAAGATTTATTTATTTATTTGAAAGCAGAGCTACAGAGAGGCAGAGAGAGAGAGAGAGGAGTCTTCATCTGCTGGTCCACTCCCTAAACATCCACAATAGCTGGAGCTGGGTGGATCCAAAGCCAGGAGCCAGGAGCTTCTTCCCAGTCCCCGCAGCTGGTGCAGGGTCCCAAGGACTTGGGCCATCTTCCACTGTTTTCCCAGGCCATAGCAGAGAGCTGGATCGGAAGTGGAGCAGCCAGGACTTGAACCAGCGCCCATATGGGATACTGGCACCGCAGGCGTTAGCTTTACCCCCTACACTGCAGAGCCGGCCCCTAGGTAGGTAGAGTTATAACTCATTTATCTTCACTTACCAAGAATTGGGAGACATTTTCTGTAAAAGGTTAAAAAATAGTAATTATTGGATCAAGAGGATATTACATAGGTCAAGGATAGGGAACTTTTTTTGTGTCAGTGGCTATTTGGATATTTATAATATCATTCACATGCCATACAAAATTGTCACTTTAAAAATTAGCCTGCTGTAGATTTATTGATTTCAAGTTCTGTTTGAGGTTGCCTTGGGAGGGTCAGACTGAATGATTTTGTAAGTCTTATATATAGCCCACAGGCTGGATGTTCCCCAGCTCTGATGTAGATACTACAATTTTGAAGGGACAAAATTCAAAACAGTGATTCAGGCTATCTTTCAAATATGCTAGTCTAGCAGTAAAAAGAATGAAATTATTTTTCAGAGGGAGTAGAAATAGTCTTTTGCTTGACGGGAGTTCAAAGTTAGTGTATAAAAATTTTTTTAATTTCACTTGAAAATGTTTTCTCACACAGATGGATACTCCCAAGTCCATGATCAGAAGATCTTAATTGAGCATACTCATTACTTGGAAGGCATTGTAAAATTCTTTTGGATTCTTAATAGTTGCTTTTAGTATGGCATATTTTTGCAGGTTAATTGCTTCCAGTTGAAGGGTTAGATGAAAGTTCCTCAATTGCACAGGGTAAAATGGACTTCGAAATGTGGAAATTTCCTGTGCTTGTGCATTGATATCCTAAAAATACTTCTAGGAACTGTGGTTTGAACTTGAAAATAAAGATCTCAATTCTCATAACTTTGGCAGCACAGAAAGATGGCATTTGACATTACTTGTGATTGGAACAATATTAGCTGCTGAAAATGACTTTATTGCAGTGTAAGTTTCACATATAAGTGGTGTTATCCCTTTTAGTTACAGTTTGAATTGGTTGAGAAACATTACAGAGTCTGCAGCTAAAGCTACTTTTTAAAGTCACATACTGCTTAAAAATACAACAGCTGGCACTGTGGCATAGTGGGTAAACCTGCCACCTGCAGAGCCAGCATCTCATATGGGCACAGGTGGTAGCTTTACACACTATGCCACCGTGCTGGCCCCAAAAATGGGATTTATATTACTAAGTGGTTGAGAGAAGAATACTTCATGATACATGAAGATTATATGGAATTCATATTTCAGTTACACGTTTTACTGACTATAGCTGTGCCCTTTAGTTTGCATGTTGTTTGTGGCTGCTTTCATGATATCATGCAGTAGATTATTATGACAGAGACCTTATCGATTGATTGTACTGCCTAAAACACTTTCTTATCCTTTACAGAATAAATTTGCCAACCTCTGCTGTAACCCAAACATACACGTTGGAAACTACCACTGGCAATTCTTACCTAAAGTAGTTAAGTGAAGGGGCCAGCGTTCTGGTGCAGCAGGTTGGATTGCCGCCTACAATGCCAGCATCCCATATGAGCTCCACATTGAGTCTGGCTGTTCTACTTCCTATATAGCTCCCTGTTAATGCACCTGAGAAAGCAGTGGAAGATGCCCCAAGTGCTTGGCCCCTTGCCACCCATGTGGGAGACTTGGAATTCCAGGCCCCTGGCTTCCTCCTGGCCCAGCCCTAGCTGTTGTGCCATTTGGGGAATGTACCAGCAGATGGGGGATCTCTTCTGTCTGTCTGTCTGTCTGTCTGTCTCTCTCTCTCTCTCTCTGCAACTTTGGCCTTCAAATGAATAAATAAATGAATCTAAATAAGATGAAAAATGAGGGAAGAAAAAATTAATACATCAACACACAAATGCTCATAAGCAGGGACAATGAAATTGCATAGCTTTTCACAATTCTCATCTTTAAAAAAAATGTTGGAATTTTTATTTCATTTCATTAGAGAGAGAATGAGATTGATTTCTGGTTGCTGGTTCACTCCACAAATGCTTGCAACAGCTAGGGCTGGGTTAGACTGAAGTCAGCAGCCCTTAACTCAATCTGGGTCTTCCATGTGGGTAGCAGTGACACAAATAGTTGAGCTATCACCAGTGCCTTCCAGGGTGTGCATTAGCAGGATGCTAGATTGGAAGCAGAGCAGCCAGAACTTGAATGAGGCACTCCAATATGTGATGCAAGTGGTAGTCTAAATTGCTGTGCCAAATACCTACCCCTGAAGTCGCAGCTGTAGTGCCCATTTGGGGTTTGTACCACCAGATGTAAGATCTCTTTTTCCTTGCCTTTCAAATAAGTAAATAAATTTTTTTAATGAAATGTTTCTAGGTGATTTTCTGTAGCTGCAACATTTTTAATATGTATTAGTTTATATTTTACAAATGTGTTGAGAAGTCTTTAAAAACTTCAACTGATTCTTTACCACTGATGGCTTGAGATACACTGCCAAAGACCATCTACTAAATTCCAGATATATCCCTATCCCTGTTGGGAATATATTCCCATCCCCATTGGGAATATATCTGGAATTTCATGGTAGCAGCCTAGTTTATTGCTCTAGTAATTAAAGTGGCACTTTTTTAACTTTAGTGACATAAGCAACCCCAAATAGTCAGGTGGCAGTCTCACTTTAAGTGGAATTGATCCATTGTTTTGTTTTGTTTTGTTTTGTTTTGTTTTGACAGGCAGAGTGGACAGTGAGAGAGAGAGAGAGAAAGGTCTTCCTTTGCCGTTGGTTCACCCTTCAATGGCCGCCGCGGCCAGCGCGCTGCAGCCGGTGTACCGCGCTGATCCAAAGGCAGGAGCCGGGTGCTTATCCTGGTCTCCCATGGGGTGCAGGGCCCAAGCACTTGGGCCATCCTCCACTGCACTCCCGGGCCACAGCATTGTTGTGTCCTATTGTAGAAGCAATTGCTATCATAGAAGCCAAAACGTCTAAATCGGCTTACCACAAGATTAAGGATGGTAGCAAAAATTCTCTCTTTCTTAAGCATGATATGAGAGTGGGCACTCTGATTGTCACCTTCCAATTTCTAGATCCTTATCTCTGGAAGCACAGTTTGTTGATCACTTGTTCAGTGATCCTTTTAGGGACTTGACTTTCAGCTAGTACTGTAACAGTAAGCTCTTCCACTCTCCTGTGAAGCTAGCTGTAACTGAATGGTAGCGTATATAGGAAAACCAAGGACTACATTGGGCATGAGTGACTCACTTCATAAAGGATGCCAATTAAATTTAACACAGACTTTTTTTATTTTATGCTTATTGAAAAGGCTCCTGTACATAATAATTTGGAAAAACTTTTTTCATATTACTGTTTCATGTATATAAAGAAAGATGAAATTGGGGGCTGGCACTGTGTATAGCAGGTTAAGTCACTGCCTGTAGCATGAGTCCTGGCTACTCCACTGCAAACCCAGCTACCAGCTAATGGCCTGGAAAAGCAGCAGAAGAATGCCCAAGTACTTGGGTCCCAACTACCCACATGGAAGACCAAAATGAAGCTCTTGATTTCAGCCTGGCCCAGCCCTGGCTTTTGCTTTTTTTTTTTTTTTTTTTTTGACAGGCAGTTAGTGAGAGACAGAGAGAGAGGTCTTCCTTCCATTGGTTCACCCCCAAATGGCCGCTAACACTGTGCCAATCCGAAGCCAGGAGCCAGGTGCTTTCTCCTGGTCTCCCATACTGATGCAGGGCCCAAGTACTTGGGCCATCCTCCACTGAATTCCCAGCCACAACAGAGAGCTGGACTAGAAGAGGAGCAACTGGGACAGAATCCGGTGCCCCAACCAGGACTAGAACCTGGGGTGCCGGCGCCGCAGGCAGAGGATTAGCCTAGTGAGCCGTGGCACTGGCCATCAGCCCTGGCTTTTGACAGCCATTTGGGGAGTGAACCAGCAGATGGCTGATCTCTCTCTACATCTGTCCTTTTCCCTCTATAACTCTGCCTTTCAAGTAAATGAATAATAAAATCTTAAAAAGACAATGAAATTGAAACAATTGGTTGTTCCTAAAACGCTTTATAGAATTTGGTTCTTTTTTTCTTTTGGCTAGTTTCTTTTTAAATGATTATTTGTTTATTTATTTGAGAGGCTGAGAGTTACAGACAAAGGGAGAGACAGAAAGAAAGACAGTCCTCCATCCACTGGTTCACTCCCCAAATGACCAACAGCCAGGGCTGGACCAATTTGAAGCCAGGAGCCTGGTCTCCCATGTGGGTGCAGGGGTCCAAGCACTTGGGCCATCTTCCACTGCTATATCAGAAGAGGAGCAGCCAGGACCTGAACCGGCACCCATGTGGGATGCCGGCGCTGCAGGTGGAGGCTTAGCCTACTATGCCACAGTGCTGGCCCCTTAGCTACTTACTGACATTTGTGTTTCTCCATGGTGTCATCATCATCAAAAGTGGTTGTGTTGCAGAAATCTTCACAGTGCTCCACTATTGTTCCTGGAGTGTTCTAAGCCATTAATACTTAATACAAGATTTCGTGCTAGTGCTTCCTAGATATTAGAAAGCATTATTAAGCTCAGTATTTTCAAAGTGAAGTTCATACAAGTGCAAGCAACAATTTTCTTTAGGATTAGTTCTGAATGTCACTTATTCTAAGACCATTGATTTTGAGAACCATCTCAATTTCAGAGATGTTAAAATGTGGACCTTAGCTTCAAGGGTTTCTGATTTAGTGGCATATAGTTGCTCTTACTAGTTACTTAGTCATTGTAATGTCTCCTTTTTCATCTCTAGTGCTACTTATTTGAGTTTTTCCCTTCTTCATCATTCTGGCTAAAAGTTTATTCTTTATCTTTCAGAAAGCCAGCATATCATTTTGTTGATCTTATATGTTTTAGTTACAATTTCATTTATTTCTTTTCTGATCCTTATTATTTTTGGCCTTCTACTAGTTTTGTGTTTAGTTTGTTCTTTTCTGAGTATTGAGGTGCATTTTTAGGTAGTTTGACAACTTTTATTTAATGAATGCTCTTTTGCTATAAACTACCTTTAAAAAAAAGTTAGTAGAGCAACAGAGAGGGAGAGACAGAAAGATCTTGCTTTCACCTGGTTCACTCCCTACA